CGCAAGAATCACCCCATTTGTTTTCGTGTTGACCCCATTTCCAACATTCAGCCATACGGACAAACATATTTGGTATGTTTATCTCGACCAGAATAGAATGTTGATCAATATGAGTGTTATGATGAGTTTAACAGGAAGTTTCAATGGCAAAAGGATAGAGGAAACTTTTTCAATTTCTCAATTTTCTTTTTAAGTTCCTTAAAAATGGATTCAAAAAAGGAGGGTCGTTTTCAGGTTGGAACTATGGACTTGGTCCCAATTTTCACTGAGATGTGACGTACAGGTGGTGAAGATCAATCCCAGCTCGATATTTGTAATGATGAAAATCGAAGAATTTTCTTCTTAAATTGGAGTACGAGTATTTCGAAGCTTTTGTCGCACGATGTTGCCCGGCAATTCATTTTTGTTCTGTCAAAATATTATCGATAATTTTAAATATTTGGAAGAAGATTACATCAATTGATTCCATAGGAGACATCGCCCTTGAGAGCTGCAGGCATGAAACAAACTCAATTCCAACCTTAACAGCATAAAAACTAACCGACTTTAATAAATTAAAGACAGATGAAGTTAAATGGATGAAGAATCCAAGAAATGCTATAGTATGAATGTATTTCTATTCTAGTCTTTCTATGACCTATCCTGTAAAAAATAGGGGAAAAAACTGGAAGCAACTGGAAAATTCATTTATATAATGCATATAAAAAAATAATTTTTTATCATTTCTAAGTACGCGTCTTAAATAATTTCACGTAATTACATGAAATGGTCTACATCATAAAACCGCTTCAAAACCATGAAATATAATTTGGTTCCCATGGCTGGCAGGCAATATTTGTCTTAAGTTAACAACTACCCATAGTTTCCATCGCTGGTTCTGTCTTAATTTAAAATCTTTTTATAACAATTAAAGACAAAACATAATAAAACCAAAAGAAGCACAAAGGTTATATATACATGCACATGATATTACATTCTAAAGAGGTTCAGAAAAATAGAAAACACACCAAGGAGAGCATAAGAAGAAGGAACACACAAAGTTTCTTACAGAATATGGAAATGGCAATGGCAAAAACAGAAGTGAGCAATCGAAGGCGTGCAGTATGTGTAGTGGGAGGTGACATGGAAATGGCAATGGCAAAAACAGAAGTGAGCAGTCGAAGGCGTCCAGTATGTGTAGTGGGAGGTGACATCCCTGAGGCAATATGTGTAAAGCGTAGACGAAGAAATACAGCTGCTTCGACTACACCTGCTTGCGCTCTTCAACAGATACAGGTTGATCCAATTTGTACCCCAACAACTGTCAAAAGAAGCTCAAGATTTCGAGGTGTCAGCAAGCATCGATGGACAGGTCGATATGAAGCACACTTGTGGGATAAACTCTCATGGAATGTAACTCAGAAGAAAAAGGGAAAACAAGGTAGCATTTTACTGTAAAATGTCGCCCTGTGCAACTTTTTTAGTTATGTTTTTGCTTTAATACCGGTATCTGATAAAGAAAATTTTCTGTTTTTGTTCCATGGACTGTTCTTGGATGCAAAATTTAAAATGGCCAGTGTATCTTGGTGAGTACAGTTTGCCTGCAAAGTCATTCCCTCACCACCCCACCCCACCCCCACCTACCCACCCACACACAAAAACAACTTTTTCAAGAGTTCTACAAATGAGGTAATTTCATTATCAAAATTCTTCAGGGGCTTATGATGATGAGGAAGCTGCAGCAAGAGCGTATGATTTAGCTGCACTAAAGTATTGGGGGACATCAACCTTTACCAATTTTCCGGTATGATTGTCTGCTCCAATATGCCTATATCAGACTGCGCGCAACCAATATAATATCGCAAGCAATATAATATTATGTTGGACAGTATGGAGCCTAATCATACTGTGCTCTTATCTCTTGAGCGCAACTTGATCTAATATTCCTACTATATAAAGAGAGGCGTAAAGAAAACTTGTATTCTTCTCAATGATAGTGAATATTTAGAGGGGTGGCCTGCGCGTAGAGCTCACATTAAGGGGACCACTAAAAATCTTTGTTTGCTTTTCTCTTTTTTTTCTGATTATCATTGCTCTCAAAAATAGGGATTTCGACTTAATCCATATAGTATAAGGTCCAGACTTCTTATCAATACCCCATTTTCTACAGATCTCTGATTACGAGAAAGAACTTGAATTTATGCCGACTGTCACAAAGGAAGAGTACCTAGCCTCACTAAGGAGGTATTATTTCACCATCTTGCTTGACGCAATAAGGATTTTTCATTTGTCACATGGATGAAAGAAGTATCTAAAACTTTCAATTGATATTGCAGAAAGAGTAGTGGTTTTTCAAGAGGAGTATCCAAGTACAGAGGAGTTGCTAGGTATATCATCTAGAACCATATAAAGAATCAAATTTGTTATTACATCAGATTACTTTAAATATGATTTTGGCCATAAATGCAGACACCATCACAATGGAAGATGGGAAGCAAGGATAGGGAGAGTTTTTGGAAATAAATACCTCTACCTTGGCACTTATGGTAAGTCAACTTCCAAATTTTGGAGCCTAATATACACTAGTTATACTTTCAAATGCAGATCGATCTAATACATGTATGTATATTGGGTAGTCCACACATGTGTTAGGTCACCCTAATAGTCATATCATATATAAAGTTATAGGGCGAGACCTTTGGGTAACAAGAAAAGCGTGAGATAATCTTATTTTTTTAAAATCTGCTTAGGCAAGTGGACGTAGCTCTCACATTGAGGGTGAAACGCTATAAATTTGTGTTTTGCTTTGCTTGTTTTCAATTCTATTGTGTTTATTTATTATGGCTCAATCTTTAGCAAATATTACATGCCCGTTTGCAGGTACCCAAGAGGAGGCAGCTCGAGCATACGACATTGCAGCAATTGAATACAGAGGAATCAATGCTGTCACAAACTTCGACCTGAGTAACTACATTAGATGGTTGAAGCCAGAAACAAACACTTGTGTTCCTGCTCAAGAAACAAAGCCAAATATAGAGTCTCAGCCAGTTTTTTCAACTTTCCACTCACAAATAAAAGCTGTGAGTCTTGATGACAAGAGCAAACAAGATATGTTCAGAAGAAAAATCCCGGTTACCTCATCCTCGACTCCCACAGCACTTGGTCTACTACTCCAGTCTTCTCTATTTAGAGAACTTGTTGAGAAGAATGTACATGTATCAGAAGAAGAAAGTGATGGTGAAAACACAAAGGATTTGCCCCCGGTGAGTAGCTACGATGAATATGGGGGGATCCTTTATGACTTGCCTGGGGTCGAGTTGCAACAAGACCTCCATTTCAACTATGATAGTACAAACATATTTGGGAGCAATATCATAAACATGGCCACAATCTGCTAATAAATATTTCCTTGCAGGACATGTTTATAAACCTTTTTCTTTCCTAGTGTACAAAAATTGGTGCAGGAGAAATTCTGAAATAGAGTATTATGTAGATTGTAATAAAATCATGTATCAAAAGTTTTGCAAGGATAGAATTTCCTTTGAAGTAATATTAAATGTTCTTGTTTAAATCAGTACTTTGAATAATTATAGAACATTTTGAGTTTCTACTCAAAAATGAAAAAACAGAAAAGCAAAGGCAAAAAGAGGAAAGAGAATAAAAGTAAGAAAGTTGTATCCCATGTAAGAGCAGAGGGGAAATTCTAGAGTAATGTACTAAAATAGGCCGCAAGAATACACCATTTGTTTTTGTGTTGGTCAAACTGAGCCCTTGTTTGACGGCCTTTATTTGGCATCATAAAGTTCTCCCAATTTTTTCAGCCATGGCATAATAATAAAAAAGTACCTACCTGTCTAACAGTCGCAATTTTTTTGTACTGGACTTACAACCGTTGAAAATTGATTTTCCATTCATGCCCTCAGTAACAAAATTCTAAATTACAACATTACCCTCAATGGCAAAGGGAACTTTTTATTAGGAGTTCAAAACAATTTTGAGAGTAGTCTGGGAAACAGAGAATTTTGCATTAAGGAAATGGTCAATTGTACAACTTAAAGAAAGTGATGAGATTGCATTTTCATCACTCAAGGGCTCACTTCACTATAGACAACATTGTTTTCCAGCCAAAAAAAAAAAGAAAGAAAAAAGAAAAAGGCCGTCAACAGAGGCTGAGTGTTATGACGAAAACAAATTATTGTTCAATGGCAAAACGAAAGAAAAATTAGATTTTCCAATTTTCTTTTGAATTCCTTAAAATTAGTAGATTTGAAAAAGGTTGGTCACATGACCCAATATTTCACAATAAAAAACAAGCACAGCAAAAAAGGGAATTGTAGAAAGTAAGAACACCAAAAAATTTAGCCCCTTTGCGACCCGGATGTTCAACTTTGAAAGCCTACTCACCCGTTGAGCATCTACCCAGTAGATTATGCTCGAATCCACTTAGAATCACAAAAAATAGATTACAAATGTATAAAGAGATTTCTTTACTAAAGTTTCCTCTCGCTTCTCTTATACAAATCTCTCTATACAGACTCTAATGTATACAAAATACATCATGAATATCACTGAGACATTTACAGAGATCTACACTTGAGAAATCTCACGAAGAACATAAAGAATCGCACGAAGGAAGAGAAAGAGAGAAACCCTAGAATAGCAATAGTTTTCTAACACACACCTCGAATCATCTAGAGTATGGGTATAAAACCATGTCTAGAAAACTATCCAATCCAATGGTTCCGAGGCAAGCCAGATGAAGGGACAAGATTACACATTTTAGTCAAATAGAACTGATGGTCCAAACACAGTAAAGCCCACAGACGTACAGAGGCCCAAATACAGAATAGAGAGGTAGCCCAACTAACAATCTCCACCTTGCTGATCTATGCTGAGTATTCATTTGTGGATTCATAGACATAATTACTTGGTTTCATTTGCTCCAAGTACCTGCAAAATCAGAATCAGTGTATCCTTTTAGGATAACACCTTCATTACACCTTTGAAATTTTAGACACAATTCAGTTGTGCCCTTTAAGTACTTCATCATCCATTTAATAGCCAACCAAAGTGTTTCACCGGGATTAGCCATAAATCTACTAAGAATAC